TTGAGCGAGGAAGGAGAGGGTTCTTGTAGGTCGACACGGGAAAAGCTAGGTTTCTTTTGGTGTGAATGGGCCGGGAGTGGGGGGGGAGGGGGGGGAGTAAGTTTGGGGGTTGAAGGCAGAGGGGGAAGGCACAGCGTGAAGCGAGTTTGAGAGAGTTCCGGTGGGTGAGAGTGCGGTGGTTGCAATGGTCAGCCACTTGTGGTGGTGTGTATTCAGCAGAGGATATACCCACAGCTCTCTCCAGTTTGTTGCGGTGCAGCGGTCTGCCTCGTGCGGTTTTGGCTTCCGCCTGCCCGCGGTTTTTAAGCGCGTCGGGCACTCGCCGTGTGATAGACTCCTCTACGGCGAATCACGACTGCCTCCATCAGCCGAGGCTGTGGGTCGTGTCTTATTCAAGCTGATTGCCGTATATCGGCCCGGTCCGCGCCAGGCTCCGCTTGGACGCTCTGTCTCACGGCTGATCGGTTTTCACGGCCTTTAACTTCACCTCTGTCAGCACCGCCCTCTCGCTCTCTCTCCAATCTCCTCCGACCCCTACTCCTCTGCTCTCCCCCCACGCCTGGTGGATTCAGGCTTTCCGAGCATACCCCCGACCTCCAGTACTTCCATTGGTGGCCGGTCGGACCTTCTGATTCTCCCCCTCTAACCTCTGAAACTCCATCCCTGTCTCCCCCTGTCTCGCCTCCCTCTTTGTCTTCAAATCCCCCCCCCATTAAAACCTACCTCTTTGACTGCACTTACGGCCACCTCACCCCCGTCCTTGGTGTCCGTCCCGACCCTCCAAAGAGTTGCGAGACGCCATTCTGCGTTCAAGGGCTGCACTTAAATTCAAGTTGTTGCCATTGAAGATTTATTAAAAAGATAATCGTGGGGGGAGTAAATGTTTGGAGGGTGGGGTGGGGGCGAGAGAGAGAGAGACAGAAACTTGTATTGGAGTCCTCCCACCGTGTTGATAAGCTCACGGTTCGGTTTAAAGAGTCGTAGTTTTCTGTTTGAAGCGTGGATGGTGGGGGGGGAGAGAGAGAGAGAGAGAGACGCTCTACGTCCCCCCAAAAATTGGTAGTGATAATAATTTTGTCGCTCAATCCACGACTGTCCGTGGGACACTGCTGCGGGCGAGTGGCTGCTCGCGTTTTACCCACCAAATACGCAGCCAATCCACGATACTTCGCAGTGTATCCTCCAAAGCGCTTCGAGGATCTCGACGGCGGGATAAGGCGCTGTATCAAATGCAAGGATTATTACTGTAGTTAAACAAAAAAAAGAAGAATATTTGGCGTCCGGGCACGTATGGTAAGAGCGCGTGCGTTTGCGGCTTAAGCCTGTTCCCATTGTGACGTTGCCCGCCACGGTAAACTACCCCCTAATCCCAGGCTGTTGCTCGGAGCTTTTATCGGCAAGCTGTGATGCTGCACATTTCTTGACCTTTCTCCCCCCCCCCCAACACCACCCCCCACCACACCACACCCCCACACACACACACACAAAAAGAGAGGAGCAAGCAGTTTGCGTTTCATCGAAACGAGCTTGCTAACTAATCCTCCGAAGGGCTCGGCGCCATGTGCCAGTGTGCTGGTGCCAGCAGTTTAAGTAAACAGAAGTATGAGTACCCCCACTTGCATGTGGTGCGCAGCTCAGGCCCCCCTGCTGCTGCCCTGCGGTCCCATCTGCTTCACCACAAAACTTAATTGGTTCCTTTTGTTCAGCATTTTTGTTACATGTATGTGTGTGTGTGTGTGTGTGTGCGCGTATGTGTGTGTGTGTGTATATATATATATATAAAATCTTTCCCTGTCATTAACCCCTTTGAGAACTGTAGCTCAGTGGTTAGAGCACTCGCTTTGCAAGTGAGAGACCTGAGTTCAATTCCAGGCAGAGGGCGAAACCTCGGGCAAGTTTCCTTACTCCACACAGAGCCTAATAATAATCCCTCCAAAACCAAAACAATAATAAATTGGTCATTTTCAATCTACGACTGTTTGTGGGACGTCGCTGTGCGCAATTGGCTGCCGCGTTCGCCCACAAATATACAGTCAATTCACTTTACAGTGTGTTCTGTGAAGCGCTTTGGGACGTCCTCCCGACGTGAAAAGTGCTATATCAAATGCAAGGATTATTATTATTATATTATTATAACTGCTGTCGCATTTCGACGGACCAAAAGAATCGGCCTAGCGAGTTGGACGCCGGTCTTGGAAGGTTTAAGGAACTTAGAAATCGACTCTTTTAAACACTCCCCCCCACCACACCCCCCCCCCCAAATGAATCCCGCTGGTTTATAAAACAAAATCTCGATGTGCTGTTTTCCTGTGTTCTTCTCCTCTGCCCGTTTTTCCCACGCAGCGAATCTTTGCGGTGCCCTGCGGCGTAGTGGTTAGAGCACTCGCCTCGCAAGCGAGAGGACCCGGGTTTGATTCCTGGGCTTACTCCACACACACGCGCCTCTATTTACCCAGCAGTAAGTAGGAACCTGGTTGTTAGTCGATGTGCAGATCGCTTTTCCTTGGATAATAATCCCTCCAAAACGCACGGGAGCCAATTGCGCGTAGCAGCGTTAAGCCGAACAAACGGAGAAAAATCCTAGCAGGCTCGTCGGAGAGTCTCGGATTGAGTGGCCAAGTTTTTATTATTTTTTTTTTTGAAGGAACTACCCTGCAGGACTCCGAGTTGTGCAGATGTTAAGAAACGCAGCTATTGTAGGTTTGGAACAGTCGTCGGCGGAAAAATATTCAGCTCTGCGGCGATCTTAATTGTTGGGCCAATTCCAAACCATGTGCAGCTCTGTCTCTCTAACCACATTACAATGATTTGCCACCTCGGCAAACGTGTTATTTTCTTCTTCCCCCCAACCCCCATCTGATCGTGCGGAGGGACATTTTAACCATAAAAGTTGCTCTACTGATATTCCAGTGAGTTTATTCAGTGACTGGCCTCGTCGCGCAAGTCAAGAAGGATCCCAGGTTACACTCCAAGTCTCTGCTGATCTCTTCGAGGGCGGTGGCGTAATAATAATGCGGTCACTCAATCCACGACCGTTTGCCGGACGGACACTGCTGTGCCTCATGGGCTTCTGCGTTTCGCCCACAAAATGCACAGACAATCCACGTTCCAGACTATTCTGTGAAGTGCTTTGCGCCGTCTCGACGAGAGAGGCAGAGATAATAATAATCATAGTGGCGACAATATTCCTTGCGTAGCGACTTGTGACGCCTTCGAGTTGTCTCAAAGCGCTTCGCTGAATGTTCTGCAAAGGGAATTAATTGGCTGTGTGTGTTTTGCGGACGAAACGCGGCAGCCGACTGCGCGCGGCAGCGTCCCACAAACAGGCGTGGATTGAGTGACCTATTTATAATTTTTTTTCCGAAGGGATTATCACCCCTGGAAAAGCGATCCGCCGAGCGACTAACAATCAGCTTCCTACTTAGTGCTGGTAAACGGAGGCGTGAGGAAACTTGCCCAACATTTCGCCCCGGCCGAGAAATGAGCCCAGGTCCTCTCGCTTGCGAGATGAGGGCCGTAACCACTGAGCTGCAGGACTCCGGGATTATTATTAGTGAAGCGGCTCTGGAGTTGGGGCTACGATGGCCTGGCTTAGGTAGCCAGGGTTTTCACTCACTGAGCACCAGCCCGTCAACATCGTGGCCGCTTGGAAAAGTTAGCAGAGAGCGAGGGTGGGTCCGGATTTTGTGGTCGCCCTCTTCCGTCCCCAACCACAGAACGATTCAGTCTTTCAGAGGAATTTCTCTCACTTTGTTCTGGCTCACACTTGACCAGTAATTGTTTTTCTCTGCCCTGTTGCGTTTTTTTTTTCTTTTCTCTGGTGCCTTCTCTTTCTCTGCCAACTTCACTCCCTTTTTTGCTTTCTCTCGCGCTGTCTCTGTTGTTGCTCTTTCTCTCTCTCTATCTCTCTCTCTTCTCTTTTCCCTTGCGGCTTTCTCTCTTACTTTCTCTGCCTCTCTCTTTCTCCCTCTCTCTCTGCCACACCCTCCCTCTCCGTGCTGTACGTATGAATGAGTGCACATCTGTATTATCCGCGCACTCGATTTTTACTCCCAATGCTTAAGCGCTCCAAGAAGCTATAGCCCGCGTCTTGGAGCGCATATATAAGTGCAAAGTTGTTGTTGTTGTTGCACGGGGATGGAACCTTACCAGAATTCTCTGAGGACCCTGCTACGATTTTCCTCAGCCCGTCTGGCTTCACACGGGTTGGCAGATTGTGTTCCGCCCGCAGTGAAGCTGTTGTTTGGCTTAACACTTGGCGTGCGCGCGCGTGTGTGTGTGTGTGTGTGTGTAAAAAAAAATAACAAAACGTTTGCATCGCCAAGAGAGCAATGGAATAACGAGCTTGTCACGTGAACACGTGCGGGCATATGTGTGTCTGTCTGCGTCTGTTTGTTGCCCCGCTGTGAAAAGGTGCCGCGTCAATATTGCATTTGAACACAACTCCCTCCACGCCCCCACCTCCCCCATCAACAAGCTTCCACAGGGTGTCTTTTTTTTCACAAAGAAGTCTAAATAACTCCAGTCTGCTCCTCAAAGCAGTCACAGACGAATCCAGCTAAAGTGAACCAGAATTGTCTGAAGTGAGTCTCGATTTTATTGTTGCGGAGTTGAGCAAAGCAAGCCGCGCGCTCTCCTGCGTTTCGTGCTGCTCGTTTCGAAACAAAGCAAATTTGAAATAATCCCTAATTTGGTCACTTCGATCCACGGCTGTTCGTGGGATGCTGCTGTGCGCTATTGTCTGCCCCGCTTCCCCCGCAAAATATATACAGTCGTGACACTTCACAGTATATTCTGTTAAGAGCAGTGAGATGTCTCGATGGTGTGATAAAGCGGTATATCAAATGCAGGTATTATATTATTCCACCTGCGAAAATGCTTTGAGGTCTTTTCTGCGTTAGTAGATGCTGTATCATAATATTATTCTTAATGATAATGCATGTAAAGCCACAGTAGTTTGGGTTTTCATTTCTCTTTCTCTTTCTCCTCTCTCTGTCCAGGCAGCAATTCAGTGGATGAAACGGGGAACAAGGTAAGCTGTCTTCTAGTTCCTAAGCACAGTCACGCAGGGTGTGTTATGCAACAACAGCAACAAATAAAATTGCCTTTCACTGTGGGGGGGAACGTCACGAGGTGCTGGACAGTCAGGGATTTGGATCTGAGCTGGGGGTTGGGATCGGGTGGAGGACAGGGCGGGTGGGGTTAGCCTCAGGGGCAGTCGAAGAGGAGGGTGTTGAGCCGGGGCTTGAAGGAGGCGAGGGAGGGAGAGAGGCAGAAGCACTGGGGGATGGAGTTCCAAAAGTTGGGGCCGGAGGGGCTGAAGGCTCGCCCGCCAATGGTGGGCCGGGCCGGGCGGGGGTCGCGGAGCAGGCCCGGAGCCCGCTGAGCGGAGGGAGCGGTCAGGTCGATATGGTGTTGGCAGGTCCCAGAGGTGGGAGGGAGCAAGGGCGTGAAGGGCTCTGAAGTAACAGGTGTGAAGTGGAGCATTTCTGCTGACCTGGCATACAGTTGCAAACACGGACCTATTATAAATCATTTTTGGAAAAAAAAAGTCCCTTTTTCGAGGGAAATTTCTTTCCCGTCCCCCTCCGACTCTCCTTTTTCTTTCTCTTCTCCATCCCACTGCCACCACGTATTCTTATCTCCGACCACAAAACAAATCGCAAAAAACATTTCTGTGCTCGGTTGACAGTCGGTGTACTTGTCGCAAGGCGGATTAATCCCCTCCCAACCTGGTCCAACCTGTGGCTTTTGCTACGAGACATTTACTGCTTTGACAACCGCCATCGGCTCCCGCGTTTCGCCCACAAAATACACAGTCGCTCTCCGCTTCACAGTATATTCTGTGAGGCGCTCGGAGGCGTCTCAACGACGTGATAAGCCGCTGTAGCAAATACAAGGATTTTTATTATTTATTATTTTTATTATTCGAAGTGTCGGGGTACAATCTGAGTGGGCGCTTTAGGTTTTATCTCTCCCCCCTCCCTCTCCTCAAGACATTGCCTCTTTCACATGGGGATAGATCTCCATGTACCCCCATGCGAAAGAGGCAATGAACTGATGCTGAGTGCTGGCAGCCTAACGGCTCGTGGGGAGGGCATTGAATCTGTTGGCTGTTATCAATTTTCTACCCCATTGCATAAGTTAACTGACCATCACAGATTACACACGGGCTTTGTGCTTGATGGCCAATGCCGCAGTGAATGCTTTTATGTGTTGCTGACTTTTGTGGCCACATAAATCTCGAGCGTGTTAAGAATCGGCAGTGATAAATGGGGGAAGCTCTTGTTTGGAAGCAGTGCGAGGCGCAAGCCTCTCTCTGTTCCTGCTCTCCTGCTGTTCACAATACTCATCTAATGACTCTGAGGCGATCGCTTCTCGTCCTGTAGCTTAGTGGTTGGAGCTCTCGCCTCGCAAACGAGAGGACCTGGGTTTGATTTCCCCCTCCGGACACAATTCCTTACTCCACCCGCCTCTGTTTACCTAGCAGTAAGTAGGAACCCGGTTGTTAGTCGATCGTCGGATCGCTTTCCGGGCGTAATAATCTCCTCAAAACTTCAGTAAATTTTAAATACGAATCACGCTTTAGAGCTCTTACTAAACACATCTCTGTATCCACTACCTGTTGGGCCTTTGGCTTGCAGGGTTAACAGGACTTTGCAACAACATCTCCCCCCGATTCACAATCTCTCTCTCTCTCTCGTATCCTCCCGTCCGAATGGCGGAACAGACTCGAGGGGCCAAATGGCCTCTTATTCCTATGTTCCTAATGAAATTCATGCCGTTTAGATAATTTTCTCTGAATTATTAAGTGGGATTCTAGGTGCAAGCCACTTGGCTTCCAAACCGCCCGTCCTAGTTGGTTTGAAGAGCAGCTTGGAAGCTGTGGGAATGGTGTGCTCTTGAGTTACACTCCCAGCTGGTTCTCACGGTCCAGAGCCAGTTAGAACTCTGTCGTGAGACTGAGGTGCTTGATGCCACTTAACATCTTCTTGAGCATCGCGACCTTCCGTGGGAAGCCACAGTGGGGGCACACTCCTCACACTGCCGTGCTGAGGGGCACTTCGCTCTTCCTTTCCCTTTGAATCGTTGACAGCAGCTTGTGAACTTGTGCGATTGACCACCACAGCCGTGGGAAGAGCGCCCACACTCTCTCTCTCTCGCCTCGCCTCTGCAGGCACACTCCACACCAGTTCACTTGTCAGTGGGAAAAACATCAAGGTGAGCGTATGAGAAAGGACCATTAGCAGCTTCGTCACTTGGATGCTAGTAGCCTGGGATTGGGTGCCTGAGAGTTTCTCATCGACCCAGCTCGGGTGCAAGTAATAATCCTTGCATTTAATATAGCGCCTTTGAGAAGTCTCAAAGAGCTTCACAGAGTATACTGTAAAGTGTAGTGACTGTGTATGTTGTGGGTGAAACGCGGCTGCCAGTTGCGCCCAGCAGTGTCCCACAAACAGTGGTGGATTGAGTGTCCAAATTATAATTTTTTTTGGAAGGGAATGGACGGAACAACTGGGTTCTTACTTACTGCTGGGTAAACAGAGGCGTGTGGAGTAAGGAAACTTGCCCAACGTTACGCCCTGTCTTCAGGCGCCACTTTAAGATGGGGGTAGGAAGGGGCAAGGTGGAGGGATAGAGGAAGAGTGTTCCGGAGTTTCAGGGGGTAGTGGCTGAAAGCCACGGTCACCAAAGGTGGCTCGAGGGACATGCAGGAGGCCGGAGCCAGTCGAGCGGAGGCAGCGGGTTTGGGGTAAGCAGCTCGGAGAGGTACAGAGGTGGGTGCCAGGGTATGAAGGGATTTGAAAATGTGAGCTGACTCGCTGATGCAAGGACTGACATCAACCTCAATAAAGATGTGAACGACTTGTGAATGTGGCATAATTGCTCCTTTCACACACACACACACACACGCACTCAAATGTCCCTCGTTTTACTATGGGAAAAGCTGGTCACATCACAGAGCCCTCGGTGGATTGGGACTAAAACCTCTCACATGTCGGTGTTTCCATGCACCTGAGGTGAGAGTCCCAACACCTGACTGACTTCTACTCGGCACAAGCCAGAAGCAAGCACTCCATTAGGTGAGTCCGTGTGAGCCTAATGGTGATGTGAAGCCGTTCTCAGGCTAATTGTGGAGCACTTTGATGTGCGAACCCTTTGATATGAGGACCTCCGTTTCCATTATCAAAGGGAAGCTTTGATTGTAGCTGACGTCATGGCAAAGGGTTCCCATTATTGAGAGACTCTTTGTATTTGATATAGCGCCTTATCACGTCGTAACTGGAGAAAGGGGATGTTTGCCAATTGGTTATGTTCCCTTCAATCTATTTCATTGGATGAGAATAATGAACCTGAGAGTACTCGCCTTGCAAGCGAAAGGACATGGGCTCGATTCCCGGGCGGAGTAAGTTTGCTTCTGTTCGCCTTTGCTGTCAGTAGGAACCCAGTTGTCAGTCGATGGGTAATTAATAATCCCTTCAAAGTAAACAAAATAACAATACAGTGGTCACTCAATCCATGACTGTGTGTGCGACACTGCAATTATTATTATTATCATCATCCTAATGGTTAAGGAAGTGAACAGTGATGCGCCTCCATTGGCGTCTGGTTGAGAACAAGGGCAAACGGTGGGAAACTGTGGCTCCAAAAAGTCCTTCCCTGCCTCACCCAGTGTGCGATGTCACCGAGGCTCCAGATCGCTTCCTTTTTTATCTTCTTATTTCCACTTGAGGAGTCCTGCCTCCATGCGCCAGTAATTATGCGGATGGTGGAATTAGTCAATGAGCTGGTGGGCAAGCTCCGATGGCTCCACGACTTCTGATGCTGAGCCCTTTGTGAGCTTTTTGCGGAGGGAATGCAGCGGGAAGGAGTCAGCCTTCCCTGGCAAAGCACTCTGTGGCTGCTTGTGCTCTGGGACGCCGCCCCCCGTGTGAAGGGAGCGATATAAATGCAGGTTGTTGTGATGTCGGCACTGCGCGCAAATTGGCTGATGCATTGGCCCTCAGAGCGCACGGTCTCTACGCCCTACAGGGTGTCTTGAAGCTCTTCGAGACGTCCTGCCGATGTGAAGGGCTGTTGGTATTTAAACCCCTCTCACTCCAGGACTTTAGTGAAGTCCTGTAGCGTAGCGGTTCGCGTGCTCGCCTCGCAAGCAAGTGGAACCCGGGCTTGTTTCCCAGGCGGGTCAGGGTGAAATCTGACTCCACACACATGCCTCGGTTTACCTTGTTTTACCCGTTGCTATTTGACATAGCGCCCTTTCGCGTCGTCGAGACATCTCAAAGCCCACCGCGCAACATACGTGTAAAGTGAATTGACTGTACATTGTGTGGGCGAAACGTGGCAGCAGTATTCCACAAACAATTGTAGGTGTAGTGACCAAACTCTTATGAATTTAATTTATTTAGTTTCGAAGGGATTCAGAAAAGCGATTATTACCTCCAGGAATAAGGAAACTTGGCTGCGGTTGCTATCCTCCCGGGAATCTAACCGGGTCCTCTCGCGTGCGAGGCGAGCGCACTAACCACAAGGCTACGGGACCCCCAAATGAATGAATATCGTTGCCACCTGAGGCAGGTTGAGTGGATGTCGCAGTTTTTGGGGCTGTTGGAACCCGTGGAAGTTTGATTGATTGGTTGATTGATGAGTCGATTGGTGTGGGAACATTTTAGAAACTTGACACCCCGTCCGACACACTTCTCTGTCCGTCATGGGAAGTTCTGTGCGTCCTCTCGGCTTTAAGCTGTGTGAACGAGGATGAAAGGACCAGTTTGATTAAAGAGTTTATGATCTGCCCGCTTGGTGTTAAAGCTGGCCCCCGTGAGGTGCACCGGCACAAGTTAGGAAGCCGATCCCAATGTGCTAACCACCCACCGTTTGATGTTAGTGACAGATTTTTTTCTCGAGAGTCTCGGTTCATTTTGCAGTGCAAGTAAAGCCCGTCTGCATTTCGTAATCTCTTGGCTCGGTTTACCTTCCTCTGGAACCAGAGCAACTTCAGCACAGACGGCAATGCCACGTGGGAGTCCT